CTCCCTGCTAGGTGGATTAATCATGAAATAGCTAAGCCCAAAAAAAGGAGCTTTTTACTGGGGGCAAACCTTCAAAGGAAACCTCGCTTACTGATTTGAATGGGTCTTTTCCCTGTTGTATAAGTTTTGCTTTTCGGAATTCGCAACTGCTTTGCCCGCCTTTTGTTATTACGATTGAACTCGCCCTGAGGTCTCAGAGCCGGGACGGGTCTGTTTGAGTATCTCGCTTTCTTCACGGTAGAGTCGTCCACCGAGCCCTCAAGAGAAGTTAGTAATCATTTCCTTGTCCAAAACACCCAACCCGTTACATCAAGCGTGGAACAGGCAAAACTCGGTTTTTCGATGGGAAAAGCGCCAAAAGAAAGACTGAGATCGTGAGACGATGGAACACCTGTACCGCGTAAACGACACAGACCTTGGAGCACGCGCAGAAGACGACAGGCTACCGCGCGCTGATCTTCAAGAAGATGAGGAGGAGATCCGTCGGCTGAACACAGCAACTGGTGTAGATCAACTACCATGTGAGCTATTGAAATACGGTGGTGAATCACGGATATATTACCGGAGGAGTGGATGGAAGCTGCCCAATCTACAAAAAGGGCAAATACCGCGCGATCACACTGCGGAGCGTCGCCTACAAAGTAGTCTCCCAAATTCTATGCCACCTGTCACCATTTGCAAGAGAGTTCGTGGGGCAATACCAGGCGGGATTCATGGGTGCCCGTGCACTCATCGATTTCTAATCCGCATACGACACAATCGATCGAGATCAGCTATGGCAGATTATGCACGAGTACGGATTTCCGCATAAACTGAAGCGATTGATCAAGGCCATGATGGATCGAGTGATGTGCGTTGTTCGAGTATCGGGGACACTCTCGAATCTCGAAAGGGGCTACGGCAAGGTGATGAACTTACGTGTCTGCTATTCAACACCGCGTTAGAAGGTGTGATAAGAAGAGCTGGCATAGACACGAGTGTCACGGTCTTCAGGAAGTTCATCCAGATTCTTGGTTTCGCTAATGACATCGACATCATGGCACGGAACGTTGAGACTTCCCATCAACGCATCGAAGACCAAATACATGAGAGAAAGAGGTTCTAGGGAAAACAATGTTAGACTCCCACCCCGAGTTGACGGTGACGAAATCGAGGTGGTTGACGAGTTCGTATATTTGGGCTCACTGGTGACCGTCGAAAATGAAACCAGCAGAGAAATTCAAAGACGCATTATGCCAGGGAATCGTGCCAACTATGGACTCCGGAGGAAGTTGACTATCTACTAGACGCTGATTAAATCGGTGGTTCTCAATGACCACGAAACCTTGACTACGCGCCCTGAAGGACCAACGCGCCATTGGTGTTTTCGAACGGAAGGTGTTGCGCATCATCTACGGTTGAGTACCGATGGATGACGGAACGCAGAATGAACCACGAATTGCACCAGCTGCTGGGAGAACGATCCTTCGTCCAGATTGCAAAAATTGGGCGACTACGGTGGGCTGATCACCTCGTTAGAATGCCGCACGACGTCCCAGTGAAAATGGTACTCAAAAGCGACCCAACAGGAACAAGAAGAAGAGGCTCGCAGCGGGTAAGGTGGATCGACCAAGCAGGCTACGAGGCTGGTGAAGTTTGGTTCTCATCGGACAGCAGAGGACAACAAGGCCTTAGCCTGATTGGTATGGTAACTAAGGGCGGTTAGGATGTCTATGCAAAGTTGCTGATTTTTTGGATAATTTTCAAGTCGCAGGAGGACATTATAAGTCACTAATGATCCCCTTTGAATATTTTTAAGGATGATCTGCAACAACAAGGCGTGTAAGTTGTCTTTAGAAATTCTATGATTTTTAGGATGATTTTGTAGCAGCAATATGGTGTTGAGGATGACTACAGATCACACAAAAAAACTGTGGTAGTTTGATTTGCAACAGCAGGACATTTGAGGTGTAGTTATTTGATAATTTTGTGGATTACTTTGAAGTAGAAAGAGGACATTAGGGATATTTATTACTGAAATGTTGGGAGGTTTATCTGCGAAAAATGGCGCTTGGTTGTGTTTTTAAGTATCAGAACAGTGCTTTGAAGCACTAAAGAACTCTTCAAAAATTTGTTTGGAAGTTGAACTGCAACAGCAGAGCGTTTAGGATGTCGATAAAAATATGTTGATTTTTTGCAGATGGACGTTCTAAATAACTATTAATCACAGTGTTATCTCAGCTGTCGAGGCGAGCACACATACTTGATGTGTGTCACGCGATCGTCTGTATACTCGGCAGCAACCATTGTGTGGTGTTCATTGTTCTTCTTCAAGGTCGTCGACCTTGAAAAGCAACCGTTTCGTGATGAGTGTGTGAGTGAAGACCACGATTTGCATCCATTTTTGCAGTGGACGCGCTATACCCCCCTTTGGCGTTGTTGCCATATCTTGAAACCATTGGAAGTGAATTCCGTTCTGATGAAGGAAGCTTGTTGAATAGCTGAAGATAAAATGTTTTTCGTTTTGTACCTCATGACTTTAGTTTTACGATGTATTGTATAGTGAACAAGAAATCTCGGCACTGTAATTTTTTTTCGATTGTGCCTAATAAAATAAAGTAATTACAAAAAAAGAAAGAGGTTGTAACCAAGACACGACCGTAGAATTGACGTAGGATTACGAAAGGTGGTTATGATGTCATAGCAAAAGTATAGTAAATATTAAATTGATTTCTTAACTCGTTATCAGTGAAAAATTTTGATAGGTTGAAATTCGGAAGCAATTTGATAGTCCTGTTTGTGAGGTGTTCTGTCGATGTTCATGTAGTACAAGCCACTCCTGGACGATATGTCTTGGATTCATGCTCTTACTCTTTAGTTTACTTTTTTATTAGTCATTTGTGGTCCTGAAAATGACCGATGGGTTGGAAGCTTGGAAGCTAGTTGAGAACAATACTGTGGAAATTTTTCCTCGATGTTTTTGGAAATGATAGCAGTGCGGAAATTAATGTTATTTCGGCCTAAATGGCCCATACATAAATTCAGCAATCAACTAAATTTTCAATGGCGACCAAAAATATCCATTAGTACTGTCCCGATGACGCGTTCATCTAGATAAAATTGAAAATAGCATATTTTTAGCGATGGGTCTTAGATCCATAGGCCAACATTAGATCCATTTCCCCTAATAGGGAAAACACATCAATCTCAGAATATGAACCTACATTTGTACTTCTTGATGCATATTTTAAGCCCCTTCTATTAAGAGCATTTCGGCAAGGTTATTTTTTGGCATAATGCTCTTAATAGGAGGGGCTTAACATTTGCACCAAAAGGCATAAAGATCGGTAACGTCTTGCATGCTCAGTGCTTGGTATCAGTATTCAGCGACTGTGTTTTTTTTTTCCTTTGGTTTGTTTTTTCCGTCGATCTTGTTTTCCGTGCTGAGCACCAATGCTACCGACGTGCCAGGAAGGCAGCTCCCACACCTGGACCCTACCTATCGACCCATCAACTCATGAACCGGGGACCAACGGCTTTACTTCCCATCCGAAGGAAGGCGTGATCAGAGATGTTATGCCTCAGAACATCTCGGCGGTGCCGACTGGGATTGAACCTAGGCCTGCTGGGTGAGAGGTAATCACGCTTACCACTACACCACCGGCGCCTTTATCAGCGACTGTGTTAGGGAAACCAGAAAGGCGAGCAAACGTTCAATGAAAATTAACTCTAAAACAACAATAATTTATAGTGATCCTAATAAGGAACACATTTTTGTCGTAATTGTTGAGTAATGCTGGGCTATTGAGGTGTTCAACACGAACGAGGCTAGCGAGCTGTATGTTGTTTGAAACGCGGGTGACGCGCTTGGCATAGATGACCTACAGCGACTCACGAAGAAACTGATTTCGATCCATAGCGATGCGGCTTCTTCCTCCTTCTATGGATGCCCATGTGGGCCTGCAGCTCGCCTTTCGTGGTGTACTGAAGAAGCAAGTTAACGCCACACGATGAAAGCACTGCTGCTGATGCTGCTGCTGCTGACTCTGACGACCGGACACTACCACGAACGGTGATTGAATGAGCACCGTTCAGTGAGACAGGCTCGAATTCGATGTTTAAATCTGTGTTAGGGAATGCGCTGTTTGCAGGCAATCGGTGATAATTTTGATCACCATTGCAACGCTTGGAAATTTGTGTATTTTTCAATAGCGAACTTATGAAAATTAATAAAGTGTTCATTTTAGCAGATTGCTTGATAAATTTCCAAGCCATTGGCTTCTTTAGAATTAAAATCCATCTGCTATTGACAGAGTTATATGTGGTCAAAACCTGACCCCTTTTCGAAATGCGGTCGATTTTAGTTTTTTGAAATTGCACCCCTAATATGTTGCCGAAAGACGTAATCCTACGTCAAAACTATTAATCTCTTTTGAAATTTTTGAGAGTTTGAATTGCAATAACAGACAGTTTGCGATGTCTAGTTGAGTTTTAAAATTGATTGGATGGGGTAAATGGATCTAATGTTTGTCTATGGATCTAAGGTTGGGCCCATCGCTAAAAATCTGCTTTTTATCAATTTTATCTAGATGAACGGGTCATTGGGACGGTACTAATGGATATTTTTGGAAATTTAGTCGATTGCTGAATTTATGTATTAGCCCAAATTAGGGGCATTGAGGCCGACATTCCATCCATTTCCTCTAGTTTAAAAGTGTTTTGTGGGGATGAAAAGCATCGGGGGGGGGGGGGCACATGGGGTATGAACTCAAAATCATTTGAGGGGGCAATAGCCACCCTTACACACGCCACTGATGAGCACTAACTCTTGTCCTAGGCCTGCCCTAATTAGTATCTCATGCCAAGAAACTCATCCAATATAATACCAAAACATTCCTTTGCTTTCTAAACAGTTTATTCCCACTGCTTCCTCAAGCGTCAAGACAAATGAGAGTTCCCATTAACGACCGTAATACTGACAAAACTCTTCTGATTTTCTTCCATCATTTCTCAACCATTAGGGTCCTCAAGCACTGCTCGATCGAGGAGATTGTACCACCAACCATCGCTTTGAGCGATATGTATGCGCTGTAAGTATGTTTACGACAGTTACAAATCTCATCCCGCATCGCCATTGCAGCGCTCTCCATTCTCAACCCGATTAGTCTCCGATGGGTGGAAGGAATAGATAGATTAGATCGGCAGAGAGCTGAGCGCAATCCGTCGACCGAATACCCGGCAGAGCACTAGAGCTGCCAAGTGATGAAGGTGTGGAAAATCCGAGATGAAATGAGCGGAAAAATTAATGACAACAGGAGGTCGAATCTGGCGCGAGGAAGGAACACATTCCGAGCGATCCATATTGTTTAGAATTGAGCAAAAGCAATCGGGGAAAATTAATTGCTCAAAGTTTTACGGGTGGATTTTCGCTTGGAACACAAGCTAAACTGAAATAATGTTATATATGTGTATATCTCTCCCGAAGATCACTGCCAAATACCGCAAGTCCCATTTCGGAGAGGTCAGTTGGCAGCTTGCAGCCGCAATCGGATGGAAATGGAAAATAAACGATAAATTTAAGCTCTTTATTGCGACGATTGTGCGAGCTCAAATGCTGAAACTGTAAGAAATGGGGCAATCTCGCTGGCTTTGGATTTAAACTGTGATGGTTAGGATATGATGCGAGCTTAATTGAATTGAAGGACGCAAGCCAGATTGAGAGCAAGGATTTCGGTTATGTTTGCGGAACAGCAATTTAGTTTTCAGGGGTTTTAAAATGGTAGGGATTTTTCAGTAAATGCCAATTTGTGTTAGAGTTAGCTCGAGAGTGGTAAAATGTCCGCAACCGTTGGAAGTTGTTCGAGCATGCAGATTATTTAAATTATCATTTCATTTCGAGAAAGAGGTAAAAGCACATTTCAACATTCAGTTCGTGCATGCATAATAAAACCATGCAGGCAGTGCTGTCGCAATATAACTCCAATAGCTTTGGTCAATGTACCGTCAAACTCCATTACATCTCATCTGATTTCGTTGTACTATTTTCCTAGATCGTAAATCTGTTCATCTGTTTGATTTTCTCATCTTCCACATATGCTCTCATCCATCCCATCATCTGTCGGGCAGACATTTGGACCAGAACAAGTTAAAAGCGCTCCCGGACATTTTCTTCCCACCAGGAACCTGGTTGCACACGCTGTAAGTATTGCATCCTTTACCAATCTGTTGACCGTTCTGATGAGTATGTGTACTATTCTGCCCATAATCGTTTATCAGTCCCATCTTTGTTTGATTTCCTGTCCATATGGGACATATGGGACTATATTGTTTTCCAACGATAAGAAATTTCTTTTAATATCCTTTGATTTCTAAGACTGATGCAAAATTTGACTTTTTCGCTCCACTGTGTTTAAATGGTTTCAAATCGGGTCGTGATTAGCCCCCAAAAGTTACAACTCATTTGGTTAGAAACAGACTTCGCACAAACCATTTGAAGTTTACATGTAAATAACTATAGGAAATCTCAACTTTTTGTTCATTGCCTTCTAGCCTTTTTCCATATTGAGCTGCAAAACAGCTCGATAGCTATTCTTATAGATAATTTTCTCAGCTACAACTTTGCTGAAGATCGTTTCTATGTAAAACGAGACAGGAAATAGTTGTTAATTATTTAAGAGATTTGTAGACTTATGACATGATCAAGCAGCTGCTCTGTAGGCAACACTGTATTTTGCAGTGTGACATAGTAGCCATGATTTTTGTGTCCTATTCAACGCCCCAGAAACACCAATGTTGCCTGCTGAGCAGTTGATTGAGCATGATCATAAGACATCAGTGCATTGAACCATTAATAACTTTCGATCCTTGCATTTAATCAAAAAGTGGTCTTCAGCAAAGTTGTAGCTGGGAAAATTTCCTAGAAGCAAAATTAAAGGCTTTTGAAGTAGACTGATATGGTGAATTATTAGATAGACATGAACAAAAATCTTGGTTTTACCATAGTAATTCCCATACAAACTTCAAATGGTTTGTGCCATCTCAGTTTCTCACCAAATGGGTTCAAATTTTGAGAGGTTAGTCAGGATCCGATTTGGAATCGTTTAAGTATTGTGGAGCGAAAATTTCAAATTTTGCATCACTCTACTATTCATCCATAAGCTCGTTCATGAAATTAGGAGAAGATTGTTATAAATAGTCACATCAAGCTGTTTCATATCGCACACGACCAAAACCGCATGCTCTCCGATGCTAACGAATGCCAGACTCGGTCTTTGATGATGATCAGTAGGGGCATCGAGGTGCTTGAAGCTGCGGAAGCAACCAATCCCAAGTAACAATTCAGAAGCTAATAGGCATCCACTCTTATTTTTGATGGTTTTATAACGGTAATGAACAATCCATTTAGTTTAAATAGAGAATTTCGAAGCGTAAAACATTCCTGGTTAGTAATTCAGCTTATTGCTGTTTTAAAAACCTTTTATAGTCTGTCGAGAAAGTTAAAAACGGCCTTGTTTTCTTTGACTATATGTTTGGTATTACTTCTGCGTGAAGTCAACGATTTACATAGTTGAAGATGCTAATTTCGAATATCAGACTGAAGTGGTAATTTTTATACGATAGATGAGGAGGAGAGGAAAGTATAGAATTGACAGTTCCGTTTAGATTACGGCTGTGTGAAAATTGCATATAGAGAGTAGATAGCGAGCTAGGATAACTTTTAAGGAAGGTACAAAGCGGTTTTATCATCCCTCTTTACCAAACTCCCCCTTTGGAGAGGGATGGTGAGGGTTGTCCCTCCCGCCACCAGTGGCAAAAAGAGATGATCACCGACCGCTCAAGTACCAACGATGTGTTTGAAACAGTTCTACCGATTTTTACCGCACTCCAGTTGTTATTCGAAGGAAGGCATCCAGTCGTAGGTTTGGAAATTGCAGCTATTGTTTACCCCTACCACGGTATGTGCTCCTGTCATCGTCGACTTGACGATCTCGAGGGGACACGGGTGGGGTAGGTGCTTCTACTGTACCTTTCGACCAATGACAGTAATTGATTGTATGCTCCCATCCAGAGTTATGTACTTTGACTATATGGGGGAGTTTGGTAAAGAGAGATGATTAAACCGATTTGTACCTTCCTTAAAAGTTGTCCTAGCTCGCTATCTACTCTCTATATGCAATTTTCACACTGCCGTAATCTAAACGGAACTATCAATTCTATACTTTCATCTCCTCCTCATCTATCGTATAAAAATTACCACTTTAGTCTGTTATTCGAAATTAGCATCTTCAACTATGCCTTGTTTTAAAAATAAACTTAAAGCTGCTCTCAATACCTCCATAAAACTGTTCTGTAAATCAATCATAAACTTCATTAGCAATTGTTTATTAATGCCTTGATAAAATACTCTATAAAGTTGTTCTGTCATTGTCAAAGCAACCATTAAACCATTCAGTTTTAAATGAGAGCAAAAAGCATATATTGTTGATGTTTAGGCTTAACAACTCTGTTTCCAAATTGATCTTATTGGATCCTTATAGTGAATAAAAGCAAAATTTATGATAAGGAAATCTCGAAGGGTAGACGAAGAAGGATGAAAAAGTCAAGAGATGTTAACGACCGAAGGGTGGTCATTTTTCTTTTTCAATTGACCACTTTGTCAAGCAGTTTTGGCGTGACTTTCTACCAGCGATTAACACAAAACTGGACCAATGAATTTCTATTTTTTATGAAATGCACTAATTATGGCTACTTTTCTCGTGGTTTTAGAAGAAAAAAAAAAGCAATGCACATCGCAAAAAGCTAACAATAGATCAGCGCGGTCAAGTCACATCGGCAGCAAACACAATGAGATACACATACAGGAGTGGCATGCGAGCGTGCTTGTTTGTGTTTGAAAGCAAAACTATGAAACATCTTCGGCCTGTAAAAGTAATGACTTCACACGCACCAATTTGATGCAGTCGGGTAAAGGAAAAACTATGAACTTGATTAAAAAAAAAACCGTATAATTTTGTTCCAATAGGTTTGAATGCATTATGCCCTATTTGAAACTTTACTCCTGCTCTCAGCATAATGCTCTCTGGTAAAAAAATCTAAATAAAATAAAGATATTGCTATTTTTCGAACAATGATACAAATGATTTAAATAATGACATTATTTTATTTCGTCGAAGTACTTAACACGTATGTAACAATACAAGACAAATCCTGATGAATGTGGGCGTCTTAGTGGAATACCTGTATAATGAGAGAGAGAAGGATTAGTATTTTCCATTTAATTCCACTACTTTATTTGCTTATCCTTGACAGATACGCGTATTTCGTCTACAATGTGCAGACTTCTTCAGTGTCTTGTAATAATACTCGACTACTTGACTCGAACCAAGTATTAGTATTAAAGCGATCTTCTTCGGCAACTTGCTCTTTAGCCATTCTCACGATGTCACGATTCGATTTCCTTGAGTGTTTCAGATCTGAGCTGAGGTCACTGATTTGCTTATCTTTGCCTCTCATTATGTGCTTCATTGATCTATTTAAATCGTTGATTTGAACCTCTTTCTCGCGCAACTGTAAGAAATCAAAACATCAATCCCTTAAGGGCTTATCACGTATTGTCAGCTTTTGATGAACAATGGCAGATCTTAAGTCCCAGATCGTTTTCAATCTTCCTGTTTCAGCTTCTCGGTTGAACTCGTTCTCCATTAATATAACCTAACATAAATTTCCGTCTTGGATGGACATATTTTGTCTGCCGAATCACCATCAACCCCGATCATAGGCACTTCGTCGCTAAGCACCACCAGTTCATTCTCACAGGAAAGCATTTCTTTCGTGGCAGTGCTATTTACTGGGTGAGCCAAGCCTAATGCATCGTTTTTGTTCACTTTGATGGTATTTCTAGCCGTGTTTCTGTAAAGTAATTCTTTCGCTATTAATCAAATTGTTCTTTCCTAGATATGCCAGAAGCATACCCAAAGACATGTTCCTCTCGAATTGATTGCTGCATAAACTGCGAGGCTCTTTTAAACGTTGCGCTGTGGGACACTGGAGAATTAAATATTGAATTGCCGTTTCTCGGGACTTGATCGTCTGGAGCAGGACGGTTCTTATTCAAGTGAAAAGAGCAAACACGAAACTTTGCAGATAAATCCTTGATCCGGCAAAATGAAAACCAGCGCTTCCGAACATCAGATTTTTTAGGGCAAACTTATCCCATTTATTTAGCCCGATTAGCTGTGATTGCACAAGGTTTTACGGCACACGACGGCATTTACGGTTAATAACAACCAAACACGTTAAAAACAGTAGAAATTAAATAAATGTATTCTCACTGCACTCAACTTCATGTGTAAAAATGATTGTGACATCACCACTTTCATCTCCTCTTGTCGGATACTCGTGTACACAAGTTGAAACTACCACTTATTAATATTTGGCAAGCTCACTAATACATTGACAACCTTAAGCACAAACCAAATCAAATTATCGTGCTTGTATCGCCTGGTTAAGGCGTATCCTAACCTAATACCGTACCCTAACTCCGTAGTACCTACTTATGAGGGTGTCACTAATTCGGTGACCTCTCGTTGAGTAAGTACTACATCAACATTTACTTTCGTTTCCGTTTTTCGAGTCATTGTGAGTTTTAGCGAACATTTCATGTAGATTGATTAGAGACCCGTTTTTTTTAGTTTATACACATTTTCTTTTCAGAAAGCGAGTAATGGCGCTATAACCATAAGTCATTTAGGGCAAAGACAAGAGTTAGTGCTCATGTCTCAACCACTCGAGGAAAATGGAGCATCATTTAACTTTTTTAGATTAGATGCTCCCAACGACCAATCATTCATAACAACGGAACGCGTACGAGATGTCTACGTTTCATCCATTTATTGGTTTATCCGTTTATTCGTTTCTGAATCATCTTGCCCCTTAAAGGCTGCACAGAAGGCCTGGCCGTTTTGATGTATTTCGCGCATCTCTGATGTATAAAATATACCAAATAGACAAGAAAATGATGGAGGTATATCTATAATTTTCCAGGATGCCTTCATGAACTGCCTGTGTTGGTGTTAGATTAGATTAGATTAGATTAGATTAGAAATGTTTCCTCTTTCAGTGCTGAAAAGTTCGTCACGATTCATTTTGTTTAAAAGAAGTTATACTTGGAAAATCCCACGAGGTCAGGTTCAAAAATC